ATATATATATATATATATATATATATATATATATATATATTTAAATGTACCTTGATCGTATATTTTATTACTTTTATTTAACAATATCTCAAAAGCTTTTGAGCGAAGTCTCTTTACTATTTTGATATCGTCTCTGGGAGGCATGTAGAAGTTCCCATTTTCAGGATAGTTTCGTCGCAATGTATGCTTAACCAATTGCGTCACGAGCTCGTAAACATTAACGTCCTGCCATCCTGGATCCATGATCGAAATATTTCCTCAGACGATTATTAATTAACCGTTGCGACGAACCGCAACTGGAGACGACGATTATTTTCATAATGTCATAGTCAACCATAACAACGCAACTGACGCACCCTAGTGGGAGGTGAAGAAACAAAAGTAGATAAAAAGTCTGTTCTAGAATGCGTTCGGAAACATCATCCAGGTGCACCCGTTGCATGGGAGTGAAAGAAAGATACGAGAGTAAGATAAAGAGAGAGGGAGAGCACTCAAGTCACTTTTTCGAACGCACCCCTGTGAGTTCACCATTACGAAAAAGATACGAAAAAACCCTCAATTTTGGATGTTATTTAACACTCAAATTTAGGTGTTTATCCCCAGTTTTTGGATGTCTACACCCAAAATTGAGGATTTTCTCGTATTTTTTTCGTAAGGGCAGGGAGCTCGCTATTCCGCGCTATCGTATCATTCTATCCTTGTTGTATATCTAAGGAGCGCGATAAAGATAAAAAAGGCAGTAGCCTTGATAGCATGTGCTCGAACGCACCCATTGAATCACAAAACGGTTTGGACTTTTCACTATGGGCGAGTTTTTTAATTCATCGATAGATCCATCGCATGATGCATAAATATAGCAAAACGTTGCATTTGCGTATCATGCGATGAATCCATCGATGAATTAAAAAACTCGACCTATAGCTGTGTTCCAAAATTACTGCCAGCATTGACAGCACTGAGTGCTTTCCAATTGCTTAACACATCTTGACACATATATACACAGAATGCACAAAGTGTAATGTTGTGCACGATTCAATTGGAACAAAGTGTATACTAACGTGTATGTATGCAGGAAAGGTTATGGCTCCTGCACACAGGACGCGGTAATGCTTGCCGTACGGCGTGAGACCGCACGACAGCCAATCAATATGTTGTTTTTCCGTAAGAGCTAGAAGGTTATTACGGAAAGCAACATATTGATTGGCTGTCGCTTGAACTTCCGCCGCGTGGCAAGCATTACCGCGTCCTGTGTGCAGGAGCCATTAGGATTATTTTTCAACTATGCTTATATTTTTTAATGATAAATAATAAAATCTAAATAATAAAAAATATTATCTACTTCACGTCGCAAATGCCAGTCTCTTTTCAAACCGCTACGCTTATTAACTTTAATTTTCACTAGAAATCACTAGTTTACACAGCTGACTAGTAGCCCTCGAGCTGAGTACGGATGTGTTGTGTCGACGATTACGACAATTGGAATGCAACTTGTGTCGCCGTGTGCATGAAAGTGTCTAGGGATATTGCAATTGGAAAGCACCCACTGTGAACACTGTTCTAAAATGCGTGATAACACACTGCAATAGTATTCTTAGAGAATAATGATGTCATTAAATTTGTCGTCACTTCCTGTTGCGGCTGCTGCGGCTATAGAGGTAAGGCAGCTATAGCACCCACATAGCACGTAACATTATAGTAATATCACAGTAATATTGCAATATCACAATAATATTACAATAATATGTAATATACAATATAACAATAATATGTTATAATATAATATTACAGTAATATTATTAATTACTTTGTAATATTTTACAGTAATATTGTTGTGTAATATATTAAATCCTAAGTAACAAGATAATGTCAAATAACATTTTCATTACGTCATTAAAATGTTATTAAAACGTCATGTAATGTTATTTGGCACGTAATATATCGTATTGAAGTATAAATAATACGAGGGCTATATGATAAGTATCCGTGTTTAACGACTGATGGTGTCACTGACTCAAAGTCTGTATACTAGAGATCCTATAATCAGAGTTTGGCCATAAAATAGAACTTTCTGATTGGTCCGCTATGTTTCGTCAAATCCCACACAGTATCCAATCACAGTATGTCTATGGCAGTAGGTTAGGTTAGGTTAGAAAAAGATAGCAAAGAGAGATTGAAAATATCTCTCTTCTTTTCGCAGGATCTTGACGAAACCGCGCGTTGTGGCTAAACTCTGATTAGAGTGACTCTACTGTATACTAGAGATCCTTTAATAAGAGATCGGACATCGTCGCCTGTAGATATTAGATTCGCCATGTTTGGGTCCAAATCGGAAGTATACTTATCTCACTTTAACTTACGGCTTCTGCACACAGAACGTGACAACGCTTGCCGCGCGGCAAGCATTACCGCGTCTTGTGTGCAGGAGCCATTATTGCACCAGAGAGTCAATTCTGTATCTCGAAACAAAGTGAAAATTACAAAAGTGAGCACATTCCCTAGGCACTGACCAATGAAATTACGAATATTCTAGTATATTTGCTTACTTTTGTAATTTTCACTTCGTTTTGAGATACAGAATCGACTCCCAGTTCAGCAATGCAGCCAGTGCAGCCAGTGCAGCTGAAAAGAACAGACCATTGCTTGTGTTGTCATTCAGCTAATGATCCTAACCGGAAGCGTATCCCAAACATAGCCAATCAGAACGTTGACATATGGTGTCCGATCTCTTATTACAGGATCTCTACTGTATACCATCGTTTAACGCTATCTTCCCAACGACGTCAGTCAAAATTTCAAACAGATATCGAGTAGTTTTGTTTTGATAACTATTGAAAGTGGACAAGTTTGTGTTTGTTTGCAACCATGGAAAGAGAGCAATATCGATCAGTAATTCGATTCCTTTTTTTGGATGGGAAGACGTATGAGGAATCAAAGTAAAGTTGCATGCCGTTTATAAGGACCATGCATCTTCGATGACTATCGAATTTTTTTTGATTTAATGAATTCAAGCGTGGCCGAACATCCGTTTCTAATGAAAAGCGGCCAGGTCGTCTGATTGACTACGGAGGATATGGTCAACAAAATCCATAATATCGTGTTAGCAGACCGCCGGGTAAAGATCAGAGAGATTGCTGACATTGTAAATATTTCAATTGAACGCGTACAAAATATCCTACACAAAAAATTAGGCATGAGAAAGCTATCGAAATGGGTGCCGCGTTTGCTCACAGTGGAATAAAAACGGAATCGCATGACAACTTCGGAGCACTGTTTGAACATGTTTAAGTGCAATCCGAAAGAGTTTCTGCGGCGTTTCGTCACTGTTGACAAAACATGGATCCATTATTACGCCAAAAATGAAAGAACAGTCAAAACAGTGGACTTCACCCGGCGAACTTGCTCTAAAGAAGGTAAAAACGGTTCCATCGGCCGGAAAGGCTACCGTTTTTTGGGATTCGTAAGACATCATTTTCACCGACTATTTCGAGAAGGGAAGGACAATCACGGGGCAGTACTATGCTGATTTATTGAGCCGATTCAACGCTGAATTGAAGAGAAAACGGCCCCATTTGGCGAAGAAAAAAGTGCTTTTTAATCATGATAACACACGAGTGGCACTCACTTGGACACGGTACAATTGGACACGAAATTTTGCCCACGGTTCAATTGGACACGATAAATTTGGACACGAGAAAAATGCGCACCGCTCATTTGAACACCGAAAATTGCACGCCGGTCATTTGGACACGAAAAGATGCACACCGCTCATTTGGACACGAAAAGTTGCGCACCGCTCATTTGGACACGAAAAGTTGCACACCGCTCATTTGGACACGAAAAGTTGCGCACCGCTCATTTGGACACGAAAAGTTGCACACCGCTCATTTGGACACGAAAAGTTGCGCACCGCTCATTTGGACACGAAAAGTTGCACACCGCTCATTTGGACACGAAAAGTTGCACTTCGCTCAGTTGGACACCGAAAGATGCGTTAACGAGTGGATTTCGATTGACCACAGTACGATTAGACATAATTTGTAATGATTAGTTCGACCTAGTAATTCACTAGATAATTCTTTTCATCGATTGGTTATGTCCAATCGTACCGTGGTCAATCGAAACACTCCCCATTTTATTGCATTTATAAATTTAATTGCATTTATAAATTAATCTTAATTTAAATATTTTTTAGTAAGTACTGCAATCTCGAACAACTAGCGGGGGGCTGCGCCCCCCGCACCCCCCATAAAAACTAACCTAACCCATCGTCACATTAAGCGTCAATCATTGTTTATTAAAGTGTTCAACTTTTGTATTAATGTGACGATAGGTTGGATTAGGTTAGTTTTTAAATAAACTATTAATAGTATAATAGTATAAATAGTTAATAATTGTAATAAATTTTCAAATAAACTATTAACGAGGGAACATTCCGATTGACCACGGTACGATTGGACATAACCAATCGATGATAAGAATTTTCTAGTGAATTACTAGGTCGAACCAATCATTACAATCTATGTCTAATCGTACCGTGGTCAATCGAAACCCACTCGTTAACGCATCTTTCGGTGTCCAACTGAATGGTGTGCAACTTTTCGTGTCCAAATGAGCGGTGCGCAATTTTCGGTGTCCAAATGAGCGGTGTGCAACTTTTGGTGTCCAAATGAGCGGTGTGCAACTTTTCGTGTCCAAATGAGCGGTGTGCAACTTTTCGTGTCCAAATGAGCGGTGTGCAACTTTTCGTGTCCAAATGAGCGGTGTGCAACTTTTCGTGTCCAAATGAGCGGTGTGCAACTTTTCGTGTCCAAATGAGCGGTGTGCAACTTTTCGTGTCCAAATGAGCGGTGTGCAACTTTTCGTGTCCAAATGAGCGGTGTGCAACTTTTCGTGTCCAAATGAGCGGTGTGCAACTTTTCGTGTCCAAATGAGCGGTGTGCAACTTTTCGTGTCCAAATGACCGGTGTGTAACTTTTCGTGTCCAAATGAGCAATGTGCATCTTTCGGTGTCCAAATGAGCAGTGTGCAACTTTTCGTGTCCAAATGACCGGTGTACAACTTTCGGTGTCCAAATGAGCAATGTGCAACTTTTCGTGTCCAAATGAGCGGTGCGCAATTTTCGGTGTACAACTTTTCGTGTCCAAATGAGCGGTGTGCAACTTTTCGTGTCCAAATGAGCGGTGTGCAACTTTTCGTATCCAAATGAGCGGTGTGCAACTTTTCGTGTCCAAATGAGCGGTGTGCAACTTTTTGTGTCCAAATAACCGGCGTGCAACTTTCGGTGTCCAAATGAACTGTGGGCATTTTTCTCGTGTCCAAATGCACTGTGTCCAAATTCATCGTGTCCAATTGAACCGTGGGCAA